ACAGGCATGCGCCACCATGCCTGGCTAATTTTTTCTATATATTTTTAGTTTTCCGATTAATTTCTTTCTATTTTTAGTAGAGACAAGGTCTCGTCTTGCTCAGGCTGGTTTTGAACTCCTGAGCTCAAACAATCCGCCCACCTTGGCCTCCCAGAGTGCTAGGATTACAGGCGTGAGCCACCGCACGGGCCATCATTTGCTTGATTTTTATCCCCCAGGGATTTTCAATCTAGATAAATAGTAATTCAATTCATTTGAATTAGGGTAGTTTCAGATAATTTGTAAAACTTATCTAAGTTTTCCAAAAGAATTAACATTGGCTTCTTTCACTTTGTATTTTTTTAATGGCCTAGCTTGTGTCCTGTCTTTTCTTATGATTGATACCTTATTTGACGCATGATAATTTAATCTGTATGTTATTTCAGGGCAAGAGACCATGTCTTTATTTTTGCATCTGCCATAATGTTTGATATAGTATTAGGTCCGTTAAAGACCATCATTAAATGTTTGTTGCCTGATGATTTAAATTCTAATATTAATTATATTTCTGGATGATAGTATAATTTCTAAAAGGCAGAATGGTGTAATATAAAATCAAGATGTTCTCAGGGAGAAAATAATGCATATTAGCACATTAAAGGATTGTAAAGTCCTATAAGTGAAACAAAAGAAAACCAAAAACTTCCCTCAACTTCGTTTAACCTGATATTTCATAGACATATTTGACCACAGAACCTGTTTCTGTGTAGTATCTATTAACATCTTATAGAACTAGATGCTGGTATAATGGAAATGCTGGAATAGTGGAAAGAGAAGGCTTGGGAGTTAGATAAGCTTGTTTTAAAATTTTATCTTTGCCACTCTTTACCTTGGAACAATTCTTTAAATTCTTGTGCCTCTTAATCCATGTATCAGGATTAATTTATACGTAAATGTTAGGGGTGTTTTGAAGATTTCAGTTCATTCAGTAAATATCTATTGAGCATCTGCAGTGTTCCAGTCACTGTGTATGTCACTGGATATTTAAAGATGTTTAACAAATGATCACTGCCCTCAAGGAGTTTACTTTTTTTATTTTAAGAGACAGGGTCTGACTCTGTTATCTGGGCCAGAATGCAGTGGCATTATAATAGCTCACTGCAAGCTCAAACTCCTGGGCTCAAGTGATCCTTCTGCCTCGGTTTCCCAAGTTGCTGGGACTCCAGTCATGTGCCACCTTGCCTGGCTAATTTCTTTAATTTTTTGTAGAGATGGGGTCTTGCTATGTGGTCTTCAACTCCTGGCCTCAAGCGATCCTCCCACCTTGGCCTCCTAAAATGCTAGGATTAGAGGCGTGAGCCACTGTGCCTGGCCAGGAACTTTTTACCAGAGGGAAAAATGTAGGTAAATAAGTATAATAAATTTTATAGGTGCATTCATTAGAGGTATGGGATAGTGGGGTATTCACAGAATAGAGTGGTCCTGTCTTCTGGGCAGTGGCAGCGGTGGCTCACAAAAGGCTTGATAGAAAAGCTGAATCCAGGTAGAAGCAGCAGCATGAGCAAAGGCCCTGCAAAAGGAAGCAGCCTAGCATATTTGAGAAACTGTAGTTTGTAACTGATGGAGCATTGAATTTGAGAAAGGATAAGGTAGAAGAGTTATGAAGAAGTCAGATTATAGAGCTAGCATGGTAAGATGTTTAAGCTTTAATCAGTGGGGAATGATTGAAAGGTTTTAAACTGGTGAATAATATCAGATTTATGTTTTATAAAGAACACTTTGGCAATAGTTTATTGGCTAGATTCTCAAGAGGCTGCAATCAGGAAGAACAATTAGTAGATTTGTAATAAGTAGTCCATGTGAGACTTAATGAGATATTAATTGTGGTATTAGAGAAGACAGTAAGGATCAAAGAGAATTAAGATGACACAAGGGTAGAGGTTTCAAGAAGGAGAAGAAAGTTCTTGGGAGATAGATAATTGAGGTTAACATGGGTCATCCTTATTTTGAGATGCCATGAAACAACATGTCTAGTATGTCTCATTTTGTTGCCCAGGTTGGAGTGCAGTGGCACAATCTTAGCTCACTGCAGCCTCAAACTCCTGGGCTGGAGTGATCCTCATGGCTAGTTTAAAATTTTTTTTCGTTAGAGACAGGGTCTTGCTATGTTATGTAGGCAGGTCTCAAACTTTAGGCCTGAAAGGATCCTTCTGCCTCAGCCCCCAAAGTGCTAGGATTACAGGCATGAGCCATCATGCCTGGGCAGTTACAATTTTTTTCTTTGAAAGAGGAGATGGTGTCATTTACTGAGATATTCCTGGTAGCAGGGACTTGGAGAAAGAGAATGGTGAAGGTTTAGAATGTTAACTGCTGGCAGGGGGTGGGGAACCTGCAGCCTCAAGGCCACATGTGGCCCTCCAGATCCCCAAGTGCAGCCCCTCAACCAAATCCAAACTTCACAGAACAAATCCCTTTATTAAAAGGATTTGTTCTGTAAAATTTGGATTCAGTCGAAAGGCCACATGTGGCCCTGAGGACACAGGTTCCCCATCCCTGCCTGGGAAATAAGAAAAAGGAACTGAGAGAGAGACACACGCAGAAGTACCAAACAGCATGCTATGGACCTGGCTAAGATTAGAGGGTTTTATTTGTAGTATGGCCGGTCTTTATATTGTTTCCTTCAATACCCTGGGACTAGGGCTTAAGAATCCTGTTTGTTAGATTGATTCAAGAGGGATTTCTTGACAGATGACAATGAAGGACAAGGGATCAAGGATACTGAGTTTGCCATCTTGAGAGTGAATTGAGTGATATACCATGAAGTCTTAACTAGATTAGGAGGGAAGAAGAAGCCATTGAGGGATATGTTTGGAGTAAATGATACTGGCCTTTATCAAGCTTGGAGATCACATATAATGGGAGTATGAGATAGATTATTGGAAGGTTAGAAGGCTGTACTAACAGATTAATATATAGGATTAGAATTTTAGATTTCAGAGGTAAACAGTTTCTTAGTGTTAATGTCCAGGTTATGGCCATGGTAATAACTGCTAAAGAGCAGTGCGAGTGAAGATAGTTGGAGCCGAAGAGGACAGGCACTCTGAGGATTAGTCATTGAATGAATCATTGACATCACCTGTAATGACTGGACAAAATACCACATTAAATAGAGCAGTAAAGTAGTAGCTAGGTGTTAAACTCCTCCACGATCGAGAGGATTCAGGCAGTAAGTAGTAAGTAGTAAGTGACAGCAGTGAGGATAAGTGAAGAATCATATAGCCATGCAACATCATTCTCAAAAGAGCAGACATTTTTTGCATATCAGTGGAAAACCAATGATCTGGTGGCAGCAGTGGAGATGAATGAACTCTGATTCAATTAGAACATTGGGTGTGGAAGAATGAAGAGTGTTGAGGGAAGGGTATCAGGAAAAGAGATATTTTTAGGAAAGAGGTTACATTTAAAGCAGTGAGGGAGAAAGTATTTTGCAAGGAAGTTGATAATGTTGGACTTTGATTTTGTTATTTTTGTTCTTTAAAACAACATTTGGAGGATTCTGGAAAGAAATGGAAAGAATTGGGATCATTTCATAGCAGAAAAATTGGGCAGGGGCAGCTTCAATCTTTATTTGGTAATGAGATGGAATTTTGTTGAGAAATTATTCCATCTTAAAAAGGTTCTCATGGTTAGAGGAACAGTTAGCTCTTTCTTGGATGCCTCTGGTTGAAAAATTACAGTTGCCTACATGGCGGAAACGCTTAGTATTTGAATTGGAAAGATCGGTAGCTGTTTAAGGATAATGAACATACATAAAATGCCTAGCACATAGTACATACTTAATAAATGATATTTGCCTTAATGAAAAATTCCATTGTGGCTTTCATTTGACTGTAAATAGATGTTTGGAAACTTTTTGAAAACTTAAGAAAAACTCACAAATATTACTCTAGCCTGTAATAGTCTTTATTCCTCATTGTTTGAATTGTCTAGAAAAGATTCAGTAACAAATGATGTTCTCAGCTTTGTTCCCGTATGAATTACCAGTTTAACTAAATAAATTGTAGAGTGATATTGCATTTAGTTTTTTAAAATATTTGCATTTTTAAGTGATGATAGTGAGTATACTGAATTATGATTTCAGGAACATCAGGATCAGATTCTCCAGGGCAGGCTGTGGAAGCTGAAGAAATAGTAAAACAACTTGATATGGAACAGGTGGATGAGATCACTACCAGTACTACTACATCAACTAATGGAGCAGCTTACTCAAATCAAGCAGTTCAAGTGAGGCCATCAATAAATAATGGTTTAGAAGAAGCAGAAGAAACAGTTAATCATGATATCCCACCCCTTACAGGTGAAGAAAATTCCTTATTTATTTTCCCGCATAATTATAAAAATATAGTATTTAATATTTTTCTTAAGTGGGCAGATTAAATACATAAGTTTTTCTTCCTTAAAGTTAAAAAAAATTAAAGTTGGAAGCAAAACTTTGTCCCAAAATCCACAGTCATTTTGAAATTGAAGTTTTTTGAAAGGTTGTTTTGACTAATTATTAGTCATTTCACAGTTGAATTATTTCTACCAATCTTACTGCTTGGAGAAATTTAATACAGCTAGCAAAATATATGCTTATGTTTATGAACATACTTCTTATTGTTGCACCAGTCTTGGACCCTTAGGTCTGAGGTCCCTGACTAGAGACAGTCTCATACCTTCAGATTTGTTTCATACATTAGATGACATCCCCCAAAGGGGCCTTCTGTTTCCAGATCTCTCTCTATACCCAAACTTTGCAGCCTACCTCTGGATCTTTACAAAGGCCTAACATAATTATTGGGTTCCTCAGCTAGTTGTCATTGAAATGTGGAAACACATGAGATCAGAAATTTATTACCTCTGAGGACTGTGGTAGATAGACATAAAAGGTACAAGATGAAATTGAGTTCCACCATTCTTAAAGCAGAAATAAAACTGAAGATGGCCATTTTCTCATTTGGGGACAGAGATCTTAGATTTGCTTTTTTATTTTGGGGGTAACAGGTATTTAAGAGAGCCCAGTAAATATGTATTGGTTAGGAAACATACCTTAGTATAACGAAGTGGAATAATGTACAGATGTTCTCTGACTTACAATTTTTTGACCTTACGATAGGTTTATCCAGGTATTAGATGCATTTTGACTTACAATATTTTTGACTTATGATAGGTTTATCAGGATGTAGCTCAGTCATAGATCCAAGAGCATCTGTACTCCTCTTGAATAGAAAGAAGACATTTTAAATCACTGAAACAGAAGGAAACATTTAAAGAAAAAATGGACACAATGATGCAACTTTTATATAGTGCATCCCAGTAATACCAATATGGAGGGAAAATAGCAAAATAGGGAAGATTTATTTTAAATTCATCAAGTAACAGATTTATAGCTATAATGTTAAACCCAGAATTTAAGAATAATACTGAATCTAACAAGCAAATTGACCCCATTATGAACAGTTAGTTTATTCTTTAGTGCCTAAAAATTGCATGTTAACCTATCTTTGACCTCTCATTTTATGCTGATTACTTTGCCCAGTGGGATAAGTCTAATGAATGGTAAAATATAAAGTCCGGGGCTTTGGTTTCCTCTTTGACGCTTGTTCTGTATTTTTGTGCTACCGTATAAGCCTTTGTATTTATTTTTTCTGACAACTGTGAAGATGGAAGACAGATTTCTGTAACTTTAGGATTTCTAGAGGAGAAAAGTAAGATTTACTACATTTGTCCCATTCATTCATTTATTTCCCTAACATTTATGAGCATCTATTTTTTGTGAGGAGGAATTGTTGATAAAGATGATTAAGATACACTCCCTGACCCTGAAGAGTTCATGATCTAATTGAAGAGCCTAGTATACAGAAAAATTACAGTGGGGTGAGTGATATTACAGTTAAATGAGCAAAATGAGGTGGTGACACACTGCAGTTACTGTGGGATGCTCATGGGAAGACTTTAGAGGTAACATTTATGCTGATACTAAAAGATGAGTATGAGTTACAAAAGTACTACTTTTCCTTAACTTTGAGAATGTAGCCAAAGAGAACAAGGTAGGAGGTTGGCTCTACCGTTTACTTAGTTGTGTGACTGGACAACTTATGTAAGCTCTTGAGAGGACTGTGGTAGATAGACATATAAGAAACTCCATTTTCTTAGCTTTAACATGATAATAATGAAAGGTTTTGAAGGCTAAATGAGATGAAATATAAAAATACTTAGCATATAGGCACTCCATAATTTCAGATGGTAAATAGTTTTAGGTGCTAAAGTACACATGCTCATTTCTCTGAGGGGAATAGGAATTTGAAACAGTAAAGTGATTGGAAGATACATTTTCCATTATTCCCTGTGCTAATGAATCATGATAAGCATAAAGTTGTTACAGGGGAACAAAAATTCTGCTTTACATCTGATGTCATTCATTGAACATACATATCATGATGACTTTTTCAGAAGGTGTTAATGTGTGATAATTGCAAAAAAGGTTAGTTTTTGTCCTGAAAGACTATTATTCACCAACATTCCATTTCTATAGGAAGATCAGTCTTTTAATTTTTTTTTTTTTTTAAAGAAACAGGGTCTCACTGTCTTGCCCAAGCTGGAGTGCAGTGATGTGATCATAGCTCACTGCAGCCTTGAACTCCTGGGC